TCCGGAAGAGCCTTGGAATACAGACTTTGCTTCTCCAGATTGAGAAGTCACAGCTGCGATGGCTTGGGCACTTGTTGCGAATGCCTCCAGAAATGAAGGCTAAGAAACTCTTTTTTGCCCACAAGATTAACCTGATAAAAATATATGCATGGAGTCTGCTCCAGACTCCAGTTGTCTGCTGCTGAAGCTGAGACTTTGACTAAGGATCGGGAATGTTGGAAGCACTGTGTGACGAGTTTATGCCTGCTCTACCCGAGAAAAGGATCTGCAAAGGGAAGTGAAAAATCTTTGAAAAATATTCGTGATTTCATGTGACTACTATGTTTAGTGCAAGCTGTGGCAATTTGATATTCATCTACCTAAGTTTCTGTACCTTTATATGAGAAGCATTTATGGAATGAAAGATTATTTTAATAGATTTCTGAAATGGATGGCTATACTATACAACAGTCACACAAGGTATGTCATTTTTCTTCTCTTGCTGTAAATTTGAAAAGTACGGTGAACATAAGTCTCTTTTTCGAGGAGTAGCGATAGAAAGTTTAAATTGATATTTTAAGGAACTGCGCTTTTATTTTAATAAACTGAGCAAATTAACCGTTTTCATTCTAACGTCAATGAGTTCTGCTGAATCACAAGGCGGCCAGTTTGTCCTCTCGAAGGAACAGTTATAAAAATTTTTATTTATATTGTATGTCAAATTTCAACTGTCCTTACGCTGTTGCCTACTTATTTTTATTATTCCCCTGGGATAATCTGTACCTGATCGATCGAAACAATGGAATTTTTCTTTTCGTGCTCATCCAGTTCAAAGGTGTATCTGCTTTCAACATGAAGTTATGATTTTTCCATATTTCCCGTCATGAGATCCGTTTTTAAGATGCAGTATTTTTTTTAGAGTTTTACACATCGCTGTTCGAAATAAGCAGTCTTTCGCTTTGATGACGCTTTTGAAAGCGCTGGAAAAGCATCCGGACCAGAGGGCCATTATCAACCATGAAAATTTCAGAAAGCAGGTAGGTGAACATTCTGAGCCGTGTGGTGTGTTCCCTCAGTCGCTGTCGAAATCGATTTCAAATGTAAAATCGCACATGCATCAGTTGACACCGAAAAATACCATCTTCTGTTCAAAGAGATCACCACATCATTTGCAAGATAAAATGATGTTATTGCGACATTTCTTAGGTTACTCCTTCTTCCAGTACATTGCATGATATTGCTATTTTTCACTTTCCTAATATTATTAATCAAGAATTATTCTGCATCTTTATTTCATGTAGCTGTCAAATTTTTTTTTCCTTCATTCATTTCATGAACAGTAAGATTCACAGCGGTTGATAATACTTATCACAGGGGTAATGCATTTTCCCTCAGTCATTAATCTGGAATGGCAGTCAGGATTTATCACCTCTATGTAGAGTTACATAGAAAGACTAAATAATCTCCATCAACTTTTACTCCCATCTGTTACCTTTAATAGCCTACTTTTCTGAATTCACGACTGAGCTTCGTTGAGGCATTCGTTGAGCGTTTTTCCGTCTCTCTCGTATTTTATCATCTCATGTGATCTTGAACTTCAACCGCTGCTCGCCTTTTCTGGCAAGGTTCACAGATTGAGTTACGGACACAGATGCATCTCCTAGTACTACGTCATCAGTCTGCCATGATGTCGTTCGCTTAATCGGGTCATACACTACTGTAGCGCTTTTTCTCTGATACTAAATTGCAACACTCCTGCGGATGTGTTGCGCCTTTGCCAAATCAGCGATATATCCCTGACTTGCCAATTGTGACACTAGCAAATGACAAATGTCATCGCTCAGAACTCACCGATATCTAGACAGACTTACGGTGTTTTTAAAATGGCTTGCATCAGCAAGGATTGTCTATGGATTTTGTCGTCCAAAATTAAATTGCCGAGAACTGGGGTCGGGGAGGATTAAGTATAATTGTTGATAAATGAGAAATAAAATTTCAAGGAATTTAGAACTGTTTTGAACTGCTCTGGTCTCTTCAGATCTCTTGATGGCACAGAAATCGTTTATGATTGCTGAGGTCACATGATTTAAATTGGTGAATATCACATATTCAACATCATTGATCAATAACAATTTGCACAATTTACTTATCAGTTGCAATGTCTTGTCCGTACTTCTGATTAGCAAGCTTGACGATTCGAGTAATGGCAGGGAAATGTTTTAACACGACAGAAATATCGCGTCTGAAAGGTATTTTTTATTTAACCGTCCTCGTATCCCATTCATTTATATTAATCTTTACACAATTGTATTCGCTATTCAGAGGTCAAAACGGGACATTCAGTCCAGTCCTGCGTATTGACTGGGTTTGATTTATAAAAATAATTTATCAATGGGATTAGCTCTTATTAGCGCGGTACAGAGGATACTGGTTCCGCTTTGCACCTGAGCACTAGGGGTTGCAATTCTGGCTAGTCTTCCATTTATCGCAGTAACCGTAAATTGCTTAAGCGAGAAGTTTACCGCCACCGGATTCGGTGCAAACAGTCGATAAATGGATAACAAATCTAAGAAGGGACCAGCAGTGCCCTGATGTGGTTAGGTCAGAGCGTGCCAGGCGACTTATGGCCATACTGTCTGATATCTCGTTTTGCAGCAGTGATTTACTTAATGGCTGACTAAGTCAGCACAAGACGTAACGGACTAATTATTAAAATTTTTTACATTAATGTAGCGTTTTTTTCCTACGGCTATTAATTATTCTGCTTTCCCCATGCCTTTAGACCGCCCTTCACTTGGCAGTCAGATTCGATGACCCGGATAGCGTGCATTACCTGTTAACGGCTGGTGCTGATCGCAGCGTGCAGGACATCAACGGGTGTAACGTCGCTCATCACCTCTGCGATTCATTCAACGAAGACATCTACAGGGACATCTTGTTTCCTCCAGAAGGAAGTCCTGCTTCAGCGACTTCGCTTGATCTGTCGACAAAAAATATCTTGGGTATGAAACACCTTGACGTTCAGGTTAATTTAAGCGTTTTCTGTTGGATGCTTCATTGCTTTCTGCCTGAAAAGAAAAAAATGATAATGTGTACTCATTAATTGTCATTTCTGAAGGTGGTTTAGGACGTTAATCTTAATTATAAACATAAGACAAAATTTCGACTGGCCAAATGTCAGTCCCACTCTTCAACTGATCAGACTCTGGTCAGAAGAAATGTTTCGTCTATTTCAGATTAACTTCGCAAACCGCTATGGGGAGCTACAATTTACGTGTGCATTCACAACAGAATAACTTTGGAAATATTTATTGTCAGTGAGTTATTGAATTTTCTAGATTCGTATGACGAGTATGATTTATCTATCTTCGTTATGCTTATGATACAATGATAATCCATGTTTTGCGCTATGGTGTATCATGCCCATTCTTGAGTATAGCGGTACTCATTAGCCTACCTCGAACGATAAGAAACCACTAGCGCCAATGGGAATTCTGATCGAAGTCCGTTGATAGTTTGCATTATAATCAGTTGATTGAATGATGGTTCAAACCAACAGTCACTAGTATCAATACCAGCTTAGTTCAATTTGCCTCCATCTGTATCTAGTTCATAACTTTAATTATTTTTTTCTTTTATTTCTTCTAACATTAAAGACCTTATATCCGTAGCCATGAGAATACGATCAGTCACCAAATGCATAATGAAATATTTCAAAATTTTCTTCTTCACAAGGCACAATCTCCGATCTGTTACTCATTTCATGTGTCACGTCATTCATTATACATTACACTATAAACGTACATGATACAACATCATGTAATCAGTAAATTCTGCCCCTGTTTCTGGCAAGAAACAAACCATCTCAGCATTTATGCAGATGAGCGGGTAATGTAGTGTTTAAGTAGAGCCGGGTTTGGTCCGCATCTATTGATGATGATGACAAGGTAATCATCGTTCTCTGTTAATCCGTGTGTTT